ACTACTACTACTACTACTACTACTCCTACTACTACTACTGCTGCTACACCCGCTACCACGGGTATCAATAATACAGGGAATACGGATCCGAACGCTAGTATTATTAGTACTACTGCTACTGCTGCTACTTCTATCACTACGTCGACGACGGCGGCTACTAATACCATTTTTGACTACTACTACTGCTAAGTAGTTGCTGCCACGGCTACTACTACTACTACTGCTACTACTACTACTACTACTACTACTGCTATTACTACTACTACTACTACTAAGACTACTACTACCACTACTACTACTACTACTACTACTACTACTACTACTACTGCTTTTATTACCACTACTACGACTACTACTGCTACTACCACTACTACTACTACTACTACTATTACTACTACTACTACTGCTGCTACTACTACTACTACTACTACTGCTACTAGTACTAGTACTACTACTACTACTACTACTACTACTACTAATACCACTGCACCACCACCACCTATGAACACCTACTATTACACATGCTAGAGCGACTGCCGCAATCGCGACCATCGCTTACCACTACAACTATTGCTACTACTACTACTATCCGCAGTCCTAGTAGTAGTAGTAGCAGTAGTAGTAGTAGTAATCGTAGTAGTAGTCGTAGTAGTAGTAGTAGTATTAGTAGTCGTACTACTACTACTACTAATACTACTACTACTACTACTACTACTACTACTGCTACTACTAATACTACTACTACTACTGCCATTACTTTTCCATTATTTGGTTACTATGGTTACCACGTGCTGCTGCTGTTATTACAACTCCTAGCCGCTACTACTACTGCAACTACTACTGTCACTGCAACTGCTACTACTACTACTACTACTACTACTACTACTACTACTACTACTACTTCTACGAGTATTAGTAGTAGTACTAGTACTACTACTACTACTACTACTACGACTACTACTACTGCTAACACTAATACTAACACCAATACGAATACTATTTGTTCAAACAGCACTACTCGCACGACTACGCCTACTATTATTGCTACCCCTGCGACTAAGACTACTACTACAACTGCGACTACTAGTATTACTACTACTACTACTACGACTACGACCACTACTTCTACTACTACTACTACGACTACTACTACGACAGTACTACTATTCCTACTGCTCGGGTCACGACTACTACTACCACGAGCAAACCTTCACGACCAGTATCATTACTATTACGGCGACTACTATTACTACTACTACTACTATTATTGCTACTGCTACGACTACCAGTAGTATGGTTACGACTACTACGATGACTACCACTTCTACGACAACGACTACGAGTACTGCTATTACGATCACTATTACTGCTGCGACTACTACTCCTACAAACACTACGACTGCTATTCCGATTACTACTAAAGCCAATATTGTTTCTACTCCTAGTATTACCATTATTACGACTACCACTAGTAGTAGTACTCTACCACTCGTCCGACTATTACTACTGTCACTACGACTACTAATATTGTTGCTACTACGACTACTACTACTACTGCTACTACGACTTTTACGACCAGTACTACTACTACTACTGCTACTACTACTACTGCTACTACTACTTCTAGTACGACTACTACTGCTACGAACTACGACAACTGCGACTACGACTACGGCTACGACTACTGTTACCACCTACTACTACTACGAATACTACTAATACTGCTACTTCCAATGCTACTACTTACTACTTACTACTTACTACTACTACTACGACTACTACGACTACTACTATTACTACTACCACCACCACCACTCCTACTACTGCTTCTACTACTACTACTACTACTACAACTACTACTACTACTACTACTACCACTACTACTATTACTATTACTACTACTACTACTACTACTACTTCTACTACTACTAGTACTACTACTCCTACTAAAACTACGACTTCTACTACTACTACTACTACCGCTACTACTACCACCACCACTACTACTACTACTGCTTCTACTACTACTACTACAACTACTACTACTATAACTACTAGTACTATTACTATTACTACTACTACTACTACTACTACTTCTACTACTACTACTGCCACCACCACCACTACTACTACTACTACTACTACTACTACTACTACTACTACTACTACTACTACTACTACTACTACTACTTTTATTACTACTACTACTACAACTACTACTACTACTACTACTACTACTACTACTACTACTACTACTACTACTAGTGGTCTGCGACCAGCCCGGTCGCCACCGTTTCGTGCTATTTGCGTCGGTGAGCTTACGGCAACCAACTCATTCCAGAATCTCTCGTGGAGAGCCTCTGCTAATCAAAACAATTTGTAAGCGAACCAGTTACGCTACCGAGGAACCCCACATACTTATATGATGGCTGGAGAGATGAGAGCTGAAGTGAAGCAAGTAAGAATGATGTTGGTGGCCGTTGCCCCGCCGATACCGCTGTGCCCTGGACGACCGTCATGGACAGCGGCCGCGGTGAGAGACCACCCCCTGCGCACCCCCTTATGGTGTCGAGAATATGTCATGCCTGCTGTGCCCTGGACGACCGTCACGGATAGCGGCCGCGGTGAGAGACCACCCCCTGCGCACCCCCCATGGTGTCGAGAATATGCCATGCCTGCTGTGCCCTGGACGACCGTCACGGATAGCGGCCGCGGTGAGAGACCACCCCTTGCGCACCCCCTTATGGTGTCGAGAATATGCCATGCCTGCTGTGCCCTGGACGACCGTCACGGATAGCGGCCGCGGTGAGAGACCACCCCCTGCGCACCCCCTTATGGTGTCGAGAATATGCCATGCCTGCTGTGCCCTGGACGACCGTCACGGATAGCGGCCGCGGTGAGAGACCACCCCCTGCGCACCCCCATGGTGTCGAGAATATGCCATGCTGTCCCTGCGAATATGCGCACCCCCTGCGCCATGCCTGCTGTGCCCTGGACGACCGTCACGGATATGCGAGCCGCGGTGAGAGACCACCCCTTGCGCACCCCCTACGCTGTCGAGAATATGCCATGCCTGCTGTGCCCTGGACGACCGTCACGGATAGCGGCCGCGGTGAGAGACCACCCCCTGCGCACCCCCTATGGTGTCGAGAATATGCCATGCCTGCTGTGCCCTGGACGACCGTCACGGATAGCGGCCGCGGTAGAGACCACCCCTTGCGCACCCCCTATGCTGTCGAGAATATGCCATGCCTGCTGTGCCCTGGACGACCGTCACGGATAGCGGCCGCGGTGAGAGACCACCCCCTGCGCACCCCCTATGGTGTCGAGAATATGCCATGCCTGCTGTGCCCTGGACGACCGTCACGGATAGCGGCCGCGGTGAGAGACCACCCCCTGCGCACCCCCTATGGTGTCGAGAATATGCCATGCCTGCTGTGCCCTGGACGACCGTCACGGATAGCGGCCGCGGTGAGAGACCACCCCCTGCGCACCCCCTACGGTGTCGAGAATATGCCATGCCTGCTGTGCCCTGGACGACCGTCACGGATAGCGGCCGCGGTGAGAGACCACCCCCTGCGCACCCCCTATGGTGTCGAGAATATGCCATGCCTGCTGTGCCCTGGACGACTGTCACGGATAGCGGCCGCGGTGAGAGACCACCCCTTGCGCACCCCCTATGGTGTCGAGAATATGCCATGCCTGCTGTGCCCTGGACGACCGTCACGGATAGCGGCCGCGGTGAGAGACCACCCCCTGCGCACCCCCTACGCTGTCGAGAATATGCCACGACCGTCACGGATAGCGGCCGCGGTAGAGACCACCCTTTGCGCACCCCGTGTCGAGAATATGCCATGCTTGCTGTGCCCTGGACGACCGTCACGGATAGCGGCCGCGGTGAGAGACCACCCCCTGCGCACCCCCTATGGTGTCGAGAATATGCCATGTCTGCTGTGCCTGGGCGACCGTCACGGATAGGGGCCGCGGTGAGAGACCACCCCCTTGCGCACCCCCTATGGTGTCGAGAATATGCCATGCCTGCTGTGCCCTGGACGACCGTCACGGATAGCGGCCGCGGTAAGAGACCACCCCTTGCGCACCCCTATGGTGTCGAGAATATGCCATGCCTGCTGTGCCCTGGACGACCGTCACGGATAGCGGCCGCGGTGAGAGACCAGCCCCTACGCACCCCCTACGCTGCTGTGCATGTGGTGTGGTATGGTGTGCTGTGCTGTGCTGTGCTGTGCTGTGCTGTGCTGTGCTGTGCTGTGCTGCGCTGTGTAAGAAGGAGAGAGAGAGGGGAGGAGGAGACGCGGGTGCGCCGCGGCAGGAAAGAAAACCAGAACCCCACGAAACATGTGGGGAAAAACATCGCAGCCACTTTGGCACGATCGTAGACGGTTGGACTCTGCCCCAAGTGGTTGCGATCGGGCCGAAGTGGTTCCGATCGGCCCCGGTCGCCCCCCCCCGACGGGGGAGGGATCTGAGGGAAGGGGCGCCCTTCCGTCTCGATCGCGACATTGTTCGCTGGCAACCTTGAGAGGAAGGCGCAGGGAAAGGAGACGACAGAAACGACGACTTACGGAGACGACGACTCAAACAGACAAGCCCCTCACACACGTCGATCGGGTCGGCGGATTCGCAGGTCGACCCTGCCAAATCAACGGGCACCCTCGTGCCCTGTGCGTTCGCGACCCTTGCCTGCCGCATTCCTATGGCAATGTGGCCCTCGGAAGGGTCTTGTGCCCTTTCGCGTGTCTCCACCATTCAACCCCAGCCTGGGCCCGGCTTGGGCCCGGCTTGGGCCCGGCTTGGGCCCGGCTTGGGCCCGGCCAGGATCGGTGTAGGCACACGGTCGGCGCCCTCTTGCCGGCAGCGCTCCCCCACGAGATGCCGCGGACTGCGGGCAGGCGTGTAGGGGCGCTCTCCTCGCGCGCGAGGGCGGGAGGCCCGAGGCCCCACGGCCCGCCTCGGCCGAGCGGGGGCGCGCGGGAGCGCAGGACCTGCGGCTCATGGTGGTCCCGGATGGCAAGGATGTGCGCCGCCCTTCCGCCAGGGCCGAGCGAACGACGGGGGGGGGGCGCAGGTGCGCGACGAAAAACACGAAGGTTCCAGCTGCGCCGACATTCGCGCGTCAGTTTCCTGCGTGAGGTCTCGCGCGAGCGCCCCTATATCCAATGCAGCGTGCCGCGCTGGCGGCCCGCGTGAGCCACTGGGTAAGGTCGCTACGTCATCGCGCGTTAAACCCGTGTTTTTTTCGCCGCTCATATGAAGATGGTAGGTTGTTAGGCGGGGTCGGAGGTCCATCTCAATGTATGCGGCGGTCGGGCCCAATGGGTCCTGCTAGCGTGGGCGGGGAGTCTGCGGCGAGCATTGTGAGCAAGAGTGCGCTTGTTAGGGGAACGAAGCCGTCTGGTTGAAGTGTATCCTTGCTCGGATCGGCCCGCGCCCCCCCATGGTCCTACCCCCCAACACATACCGCTGCTCGTCCTGGAGCGCCCTCGGAAATTCTGATCAGAACGCACCCCGGGACAGGTCTGGAGAGTAGCGGTCTCGGTACATGTACGTTCGTTTCTTCATGGGTCCAGCAATACCCCGGATCATTGGGCTCGCCCGCCCCCCTCTCCCCCCCTGATCGTGTCGGTTGCGAAGGCCCGAAGGGGTTACGCAGTACTTGTGCGCGCTTGCATGCGTGGGGCTGCCCAGGGAGGAAAGGTTGGTATCGACAAGCACCTGCTCCTTCCCCCCCACCAGATAACCCACGCGTTCGCACAACAGTTACAAGGGGGTTCCAGGGGACAGGGAACAGCTCAGTGACAATTGCAAAGGCCTTACTGCCAGTGCCGCAGACCCTGAAGGGAGACGACTACGACACGACGACAACGGCGGCGACGGCGACTACGGCGACGCTGACGTGGGCCAGAGTCCCCAGGGATGCTTCTTAGGGTCTCTTCGGAAGACTCGGGGGCCTCTGCGGAGGAATTATAGGGCCTCTTGGGAGCCTCTTGGGGGCTATCATATTCGAACATCGGCAGAAAAGGAAGGAGGCGCGAGCCTCGGGAAGGAGAGGGAGCGGGTCGTCGCCAGAGCGGCGCCGCTCAACCAGCAGAGGCCGAGCCCTTGTAAACGAGGCCACGGCAGCCTGCCTCGGCAAGAGGCTGAGGCAGATCGCTGCACTTCTCTTAGCGGGGCTCGCGACGGACGGGGGGAGATCAGGAGCATTGTTAGTCAGAGGAGGACAAGGTACCCATACCGCTACCCTTCCCTGGTGTTCCATTTTCCCACACTTTTCGTTGGGTTATGGCTTTCTTATCTCCCGCGTCCCACCCGCGAAACCCTCACACACACACACCTCACCTCCCTCCTCCCCTCCTCCTGTTCTTTGTTTCGTCACTCACGCGCAACACACGCGCGGCACGTGTATGAGACACGCGCCGACATACAGCCGCACACACTCGCAAAAATTACACGCACACGCACACGCACACGCACACGCACACGCACACGCACACGCACACGCACACGCGCACGCGCACGCGCACGCGCACGTGCACGCGCAGGCGCACGCGCGCACGCGCACGCACACGCACACGCGCACGCGCACGTGCACACGCGCGCACGCGCACATGCGCACACACGCACACACGCACACACGCACACACGCACACACGCACACAGGCACACGCACACACGCACACACGCACACAGGCACACATGCACACACGCACACGCACACACGCGCACAGGCACACACGTACACAGGCACACACGCGCACACGCACACACGCAACCAGGCACACAGGCACACAGGCACACACGCACACATGCACACACGCACACTCCGTAGCCATTTTGGCTCAAGCCGTCCTCGCCTGTCTTCTCTCGGTTTTGGCCCGCGGGCGCCAGAGCGTCGACCTCTTGAGGAATGGCTGCGGTCGGCTGCCGAGCCGCCCCCGCCGAGGCGGCGGCCGAGCAGCCATCCCGCGCATCCCGCGCTGGCGCCCCTGGCGGCTCGCTCTGGCCCGCTCGCCGCGCCAGGCGCGCCGCGGCGCGGGCGGCAGAGTGCGGGCGCTTGGCCGCTGCCTTGGAGCGCGTGGGCGTGCTCGAAGCGGAGCTGGCCGCGGTCCGCAGCCTCCACGCGACGGCGGCAGGGCAAGCGCTCCGCATCTCCTCCCCGCGGCTCGGGGAAGTCGAGGCTGGTGCGACGCTGCTCCAAGAGCTCGTTACCAGGCTCTCACTTGCTGTCCCAGTTCTCTTGGACATGCTCGCGCAGGGTGCCGAGGGCCAGGAGGGCGGCGGTGGGCGGGCGGGTGCCTCGGGTGGCCCTCCATCATCGCATGCACCTGTGACCAGCGGCCTCCCGAGCAGCGATTCGGGAGCAAAGCCAGTTCTCGGCTGCACGGTTCCGCCTTGCGGCGCGCGCCCCGCCAGCGCGCCAGGCGGCCCGACAGGCGGGCAGGCGGTTCACGACTGCAAGTTCGGCGACGGCGGCGACGCAGATCGGCCCCATGGCGCGCTCCCTGCCAGGAGGCCAGACGGCCCTGCTCGCGGCGCCGCATCGGCGGACATGGGCACTCAGGCGAGCGGCGCGCCTGGCGCACAGCCCGCCCCGCCCGTGCCCCGCGCCAAGGCGCTGGAGGCTGCCAGGCGCAATGCTGGCCTCCACTGCGCAGCTGGCACATCCATCGCTGCCATGCGGTTGCGGTCGCTCAATCATCGGCTGCAGCGTGGACGGCGCGCGGCTCCGAGGCGCGGCGCCCGGCGGTCGAGCCCGGCAGCCGGCGCCCCGCCCCGCCGGCGCCACCCCGCGGCGAAGGTCGCCTGCAGGCGCGGGCGCAGCCTCCCAGCGTGCTTGCGCCTCGACCTGGCCGAGCGGGTGCGCGGGGAGCCAACGCCCGAGCCAGCTCCGCTGGCCTCGGGACCCCGCTGGTGGCACTTGGAGCTCGACGGAGAGGAGCACCTGCACGACGGCACGGCGCGGTCGAAGCAGTGCGACGCGCCCTCCGCCGAGCCTGTCGAGCCGCCCCACATGGTCCAGTTCGGGAGCAAGCCGAAGGAGCGGGAGAGCATTGCATCAGGCGCCGTGCTCTCGGCTGGCGGCTCGAACAAGGAGCAGGGCTTCGAGGAGCAGGGCTTCGAGGAGCAGGACGTCGGCGGGCCCTTCGGTGACGCACCTGCGGGAGTGGCTTCGGTGGACCCCCCCCTTTCGGGGGGGGCACAGCCAGGAGGGTACCCCGCAAGGGCTCCCCTGGTGATGCCGCATACCGCAGATAGACGTCAGGTGGCCCGCCTGCGGCTCGCAGTGCTGCGGCGGCATGTGGCGGATAGCAGCCGAGCGAGCGTCGACGACCGCGACCTCCGACGGCCTGGATGGCAGGCGGCAGATGCTGGCGCCGTGGGTCCCTCCCCGATGTCGCCTGCTGAGCGCCGCGCTGGGCTAGCCTGGATCCGTGGTATTCTCAATGGTCATGAGGACTTTGTCGTGGATTTCATCGGCTAGGGGTCACGGCTTGACCTTGGGCTGAGAGCATTGCGGGCCCAGGCGTTGTTGTGCCATTCGGTGTGCACGTTATGTGAGGTCTTCTTGGTCTCACGTACGGTATTTTGGATCATCAGGCGCTGTTGCGCCCCATTTTTCACGCGGGTGTTTCATGCTCTCTCACTCGTGTGTGCTTACTCATACACACGCTTCGCGTGGCCTTGCCTCCAGAGTGTTGTGTATTTCGCACGCTTCGCGTGCCCTCGCTTGCGAGCGAGCCGCCGTGCCTCTGCTGTGGCGTGGGCTGTGGGGCCCTGCCGTGGTGTTGCCTGGCGCGTCGATCGGGCCGAGGGGCTTGGTCTCGACGGCCCTGGAGGCTGCTGTGTGTACAGACTGGCTGTGCGCACTTGCGCGAGTTAAAAATGCACACACGCACATACGCACACACGCACGCACGCACACACGCACGCGCACACACGCGCACACGCACACACGCACACACGCACACACGCACGCACGCATACACGCACACACGCACGCACGCACAGACGCACACAGGCACACAGCCGTTCTGGCCCAGGTGGGCTTGGCGCAGCAAACATTCAGAGCGGCTTATTGCTGTACCGAGTCGAAGTGGCTCGTTTGCAGATTGCTTCTCTTGCCCGTGAGGGCACAGCAATGACGAATGTCGGGACGCATTGGAAATGTCCGTGTTGCCCGAAGTTCAATCCGATCAGCAAGTTCAAGTGTGCCCAGTCGGGGTGCAGCGGAGTTCGGCCAGGCCCTGGGCCCGCTCCGCGTCCGCGGCACTCCGCAGGTGGCAAGTGGGCTCAAGGCGCTCCGCACATCAAGCCTGCCAAGCCGCCTCGTCGGCGGGGTGCTGCAGGTGCTACACTTGACGACGCTGGTGTTAAATCGTATGTGGAGCTTACTCAAGAAGTCTGGGATCTGGTCAAGTCCACTCTGTCACAGTCCAGCCGCGATCGTGTTCAGTATGCGAGAACGGCGGCAGCGGCAGGATGGACCCCAGGCATCTCTCAGAACAACAATGTGGAGAGGGCTGCGAAATCCTTGCTCGCGGGGCAGCAGAAGTAGCAGAAGGCAAAGGAGAGCGCAGCCAAGGCAATGGTCGCCCTGCAGGAGCAGCAGATGGCCGTTGCTTCTCTGGAGAAGGAGCTCGCCAAGGCCAAGGAGGAAGCAGCCGAGGCTCTGGGGGCCTCCACAGCGCCGCCCAAGCTCGACATCAGCCCTTTGCTCGAGCAGCTCAAGCAGTTGCAGTCCAGCTCAGGCCAAGGTGGCACAGCTGAGGACATCTTCGGAAGGATCACTCAAGCCGTCACCGAGTTCGCCCAGAAGCAGCACACTGCAGCTTCCCCAGCTGCGGCTTCAGCACCAGGCGGCGGCGCACACGGCGGCGGCGCGCCAGGTGCCGACGGCGGTGCAGCGCCTGCCGCGGGGACGGACGGCGATGCTGCCATGCAGGGTGATGTTCGCAGCGATTTCAGCGACCATCTTGATGGGGGCGATCCTGGTGGGCTGCTGGCGGGGGCCTCCAGT